GGATTGGGGGCAGGAGGAGAAGGGGACGACAGAGGATGAGATGGCTGGATGGCATCACCGACTCGATGGGCATAAGTCTGAGTAAACTCCGGGAGTTGGTGATGGACAGGGAGGCCTGGTGTGCTGCGATTCATGGAGTCGCAAAGAGTTGGATACGACTGAGCGACTGAACTGAACTGAACTGAAAAACAAGTTCAAAAAAAGGGAGCAAACAGAGAGGACACAATCATTCTCTGTAAAGGGAAAAAGTGAAAATTGGCTCAGAGATACTGCTTCTCTAGGAAGAAGATTTTAGGCTAAAGAATGAAAATATTACCTGAATTTAAAACTATAATACTTCAGGAAGGAAATAAGAGACGTCCACTTACCGGGGCCATGATTTTAGAACTGCCAATCATTCTCAGAAGCTGAGTCCAGAGAAGTCAGAACTGAGTCCAGAGAATCCAGAGCTGAGGAAGGAAAAAGAAGCTTTGAGACCCAGCGTAGCTCAGAACTCCAAAAATTGTTAAAGGTATGAGAGTCTTTCTTTTTTCTTCTTTATTCCTGCTTCCCATCGTCCTTGCCACTCTTCCCCCTCCCAAACACATGTCAGGGGATGTAAGTAGGAGTCCAGACAATTCCGGGCTTCCCTGATAGCTCAGCTGGTAAAGAATTTGCCTGCAATGCAGGAGATTTGGGTTCAGTCCTGGGTTGGGATGATCTCCTGGAGAAGGAAATGGCAACCCACTCAGTAGTCTTGCCTGGGAAATCCCAGGGACAGAGGAGCCTGGTGGTCTACAGTCCATGGGATCACAGAGAATCAAACACAACTGAGTGACTAACACACACACACACACACCCCAGACAAATCCAAACACCCTTTCTTATGCCGAGGAAACAAGTCACACAAGCTGGATACACAGCAGGGGCTCTCTGAAGCAAAGCCAGTTCCAGACACACCCCTCTGGCCTATTTCTAATTCTGGTCACACCACATGTACCCAGCCTGGGCTGTCCAGTCACTAATGAGTAGATCCTCCCCAATCCAGCCCTATCTGCCAGGGTTGAGACCAGGCCATACAACAAAAACTTCAGGGTGTCAATAATACGTTATTCACAATGCCAGTATATAATAAAACTTAATGAAAATGCAAAGAAACAGGAAAATGTTACTGATAATCAAGAAAGAAAAGTCTCAGTAGAAATAAACCCAAAGATAATCCAGTCAGTGGAGCTAACAGACAAGGATTTGAAGATATTATGATTAACATGATAAAGAAAAGAGAGGAAAAGATGAACAAAATGGAATGCAAAATGGAGTATATCGATAGAGGTTAAGACTCTTAAAAAAGGAATCACATGGATATTTTATAGTTATAAAAATATATTACTGAAAATTAAAACTGTACGGGATGATTTAACAGCAGAAAACTGTTTTAATTAACATAAAGTCAAATTAACAATAATCTTATACTGAGAGAAAAAAAGAACAGAGCTGAACATAAGAGAAATACAAGAAACTGCCAAAATGTAGAACTGAACACCTAAAACAAAATAGAACAGAAAATTTATTTGAAGACGTAATGGACAAAAACAGTGCAACTGTCATGAAATATCTTGATATATAAATGGAAAAGCTCAGTAAACCTAACCACTTGAAATAATGGAATCCATACCTAAGCACATCTTGGCCAAACTGTTGACAAACAAAGCTGAAAAACATATTAAAAGTATGTAGTTTTTAAAAAAGACATCTGTTATAAATAAACAAGAAAAATAGTTCATATCTCAACAGAATCTTTAGCAGCCTGAAAAATGGAATCATGTCTTTAAAAAGTGCTAAAAAGGAAAAACCCCGAGAACTCTGAATCTTATCCCCAGAGAAGACATCTTTCAGAAAGGAAGGTGAAATAATTATTTTTTTTAAACAAAAGCTGAGAGAATTTCTTATCAACAGACCCATAATACAAGAAATACTAAACAACAGAAGTCAAGCAAAAGGAAAATAATCCTAGATGGAAGCATGAATGTGCAAAAAAGCTAGGAAATATTTCGAGCTAAATGATAATGAAAGTATGGCATATCAAAGCTTGTGAGATGTAATCACACCAGTGCTTACAAAGACATTTTTAGGACTTCCCTGGTGGCCCACTGGATAGGAATCTGCTTACCAAAGCAGGGGACACGGGTTCGATCCCTGGTCTGGGAAGGTTCCACATGCCGCTGGGCAACTAAGCCCGTGCACCCCAACTACTGAACCTGCACTCTAGACCCGCAAGCTGCAACCACTGAGCCCATTGTGTCTAAAGCCTGTGCTCTGCAACATGAGAAGCCACTGCAATGAGAAGCCCTGACTTGTTGCAACTAGAGAAAGCCCACTCAAAACAATGAAGACTCAGGGCAGCCAAAAGAATAAGTAAGTAAATTATAAAAAACAAAACAATAAAAAACCAAAAGATATTTTAGCTTTAAATGTGTATTTTTGTTTTTGTTTTGTATTCACAAATGCTGCAGATAAATACTATTCATTATCTCATCACCATTGATAATTACTAGGGGTACTGAAGTCATAGCAAATCAATTGGTAGTGAAATTATTATGAAAATACTTTGTCAAATTACTGCAATGCCAAGTAAATCCATAATTTATTTTCTCCAATAGATATCATGAGCATTTATAATGACTGCCCACTTATGTTTTCCTTTTCTTTTTACCCTTTGATCCCCTTCACCTAAACATAAATGTATGTTTTATAAAGTAGAATGGTTAAAAAACAATGATCTATCTTTGGAAGTTAGAAAAGGAAAAACAAGTCTACAGAAAGTAAAACATACTGAAAGAAACAAATGGCATAAAAAAAAAAACCCCAACCTTAGAGTAAAATCAATAAAGCTAAAAGCTATTTCATTGAAAAGATAAGATTAATAAACCTCTTGGTAAACTGTCAAGAAAAACATTGCCCATATCAGGAATATAAAAGGAGATATCACTACATATATTATAGACATTATTTTGGTAACAGATACATTGATAACATAATTTTATGAACTCTATGACAATAAACTTGAAAATGTAGATGCAATTTAAAAATTTCTTGAAAACACAATATATCAAAACTGATATAAAAAATGGAAAATCTGAATATAGTTAGATTTATTAAAGAAATTAAATCTGTATTAAGGACCTTCCCATAAAATGTCAGGCCCAGAGGCTTCAGTGGCAAATTCTCCAAACACTTGAGGGATTAAAAATGCCAACCAAACTATCTTTTCTAGAAAACAAACCCCCAAAACGGACCGTGTCATGAGGTCCATAATTATGATATCAAAACCTGACAAGGACATTATAGGAAAGAAAAGTATATCTTTCTCATGAACGTAGATGCAAGGATATTAAAGTATTAGCAAGAAGAGACCACTGATATGTATAAGCAAGAGATTTATTCTAGAAATGCAAAGTCACTTAATTTTAAAAAAGCAAGCAATGTGATCTTCCAACTTTAAATAATAAAAGACAGAGTTTCCCTGGTGGATCAGTGGTAGAGAATCCATTCACCTGCCAATACAGGAGGCACGGGTTCCATCCCTGAAACAGGAAGATCCCACATGTTGCGAAGCAGGTAAGCCAGTGTGCCACAACTACTGAGCGTGCGCTCCAGACCCTGGAAGCCAAAACTACGGAGCCCCAGTGCCCTAGAGCCCTGTGAAAGTGAAAGTCGCTCAGGCATGTCCAACTCTTTATGACTCCATGAACTTTTCCAGGCCAGAATACTGAAGTGGGTAGCCTTTCCCTTCTCCAGGGGATGGTCCCAACCCAGGGATCCAACCCAGGTCTCCTGCTTTGTGGGCAGATTCTGTATCAGCTGAGCCACAAGGGAAGCCCAAGAATACTGAGGTGGATAGCCTATCACTTCTCCAGGGAATCTCCCGACCCAGGAATCGAATTAGGGTCTCCTGCATTGCAGCCGGATTCTTTACCAGCTGAGCTATCAGGGAAGCCCGTGTTCTGCAACAAGAGAAGCCACCACAATGAGAAGCCCATGCACCACAACAAAGAGTAGTCCCCACTTGCAGCAGCTAGAGAAAAGCCCGTGCAGCCCATGAAGACCTAGCATAGCCAAAAATAAAAATACATAAAATTATTTTAAAAAATAATAAAGGAGAAAAACTATTCAATCATTTCATTAAATGCAGAAAAACCATTTTATAATATTCAGCATCAGTTCATGATAAAAATCCTTCAAACTAGGAATGGAAGAGAACTTTAACTTGATAAAAGGGATCTAGCAGAATAAAACTGGGAGGTGAAATATGCACCACTGCCCTGAGCTCAGGGCAAGGGTCTCCACTTTTACCACTTCCATTTAACTTTCTACTAGAAGACCTCTCTAATACCATAAGAGAAAAAAGTGAAATGAAAAGTATGAAGATTGGAAGGAAAGAGGTAAAGCCATCTTTATTTGCAGACAACATGATTTTGTACATAGAAAAATTTTTTCAATTCTAGAAACTATTAGAATTAATACATGAATTTATTAGCAAGTTTGTTGAGTAAAATGTCACAGTATAAAACAACAATTATATTAAAATAAAGTTATTGAAAATGAAATTTTAAAAATCCCAACAGTATAAAAAAAAGAAAATTATGAAACACTTTGAAATGAACCTAACAAAAGAATGTTTTCAACTTATAGACTGAAAGCAAAACATTAAGGAAAGAAAGAAATAAATGAACACTTATTTCATGTTTATGAACTGGAAGAATCAATTTTAAGATGACCGATTTTCTCTAAATTGATACATTGATTCAATGTATCTCTAAACGATATTAGGAGCTTTTTTTTTTAGAACATTAATAAAACTCATTCTAAATTTACATGGAAATGGCTTTGATGGTAAAGAATCTGCCTACAATGCGGGAAACCTGGGTTTGATCCCTGGGTTGGAAAGATCCCTGGAGAAGGACATGGCAACCCACCCCAGTATTCTTGCCTGGAGAATCTCCATGGACAGAGGAGCCTGGTGGGCTACAGTCCACGGGGTTGCAAAGAGTTGGACATGATTGAGCGACTAAGCACAGCACACAGCTAAGAATCCAGAACAGTCAGGGCAAGTTTAAAGAACAAAGTTGTCAAATATACATTACCAGTCATCAAGACATATGTATTATGTAATTACTGTAATTAAAACAGTGGGACTGACACAGGATTGACAAACAGACCAACAGAATAGAGTCCAGAAAGAGACTTGCACATATATAGCCACTTTTTTAAAAAACAATAAAAGTCTTAACTGCAAATTAGAACAGAAAGGATAGTCTTTTCAACAAATGGTACCAAAGCAGTTGGCTAGCTGTATGGAAAAAATGGTTTTAACCCTGATCCTACCACACACATATATATAAATTCAAGATGGATCATATGCCTAAATGTGAAAACTAAAGCTAAAAAGTTTCTGGAAGAAGAAACAGGAAAATATCTCTATGATCTTGGGACAGCCAAAATTTTCCTCTTTTTTTTTTTTGGTTTAATTTTTACTTCCACTTATTTTAGACTTAGAGAAAATTTGCAAGAGTAGTACAGAGGGTTTCCTGTATATTCCTCAACTTACTGTTGACATCTTAGGATAATTATCAAAACCATGAAATTAACACTGGTAGATACTATCAATGGCATATCTTATTCAAATATCACCAGTTTCCCTCTATCAATGTCCTTTTTCTTTTCCAGGATCCTATACATGACCCCACATTGCATTTGGCTATTATTTCTTCCCACCCCACAATATTTATTTGGCTGCACTGGGTCTTAATTGTGGCATGTGGGATCTTTAGGTGTGGCATGCTAACACTTAGTTGTGGCATGTGGGATCTAGTTCCCTGACTCGGAATCAAACCTGGGCCTCCTGTATTAGGAACAGAGTCTTAGCAACTGGACCATCAGGGAAGTCCCAGGCTGTTTGTTATTTCTCCTCAGTCTCTTCCAGTCTGCACAGTCTTTCCTGTGGTAATGGTTTTCAATTGCTGCCATAACAAATTAACCATAAATGTATCTTAAAACAACACACATTTATTATCTCACAGTGTTTTGTGGACTTGGGAGTCTGGACACAGTTTCACTGGGTGTTCTCCTCAGGCTGGTCTAGAAATTACAAACAGGTGTCAGCTGGGCTGTGTTCTCATTCAGACGCTCAACTGGGAAGAATTCAATTCCAAGTTCATTCAGATTGTTGGCAGAATTCATATCCTTGTGGCTAGATGACTGAGGGCCACAGATATTTGATGGCTATCAGTTGGAGGACACCCTCAGGTCCTAGAAGCTGCCTGCAGTTTCTTGCAACAGGAACTTCTCCAACATTGCCACTTACTTCATCAAGCCCACAAGGTGAGTCTCTAGTTCCAGTCTGCTACAGTGGAGTCTTATATGATAAAATGGAACCACAGTAGTGACATCCCATCACTTTTGCCACAAAAACTAACATGATCACAGGACTGACGTTAGGCCACAGGTTAAATAATTTAGAGACAGAAGGGCCTGCGGACCCTGACAAGGATGATTAATCTGCATGGCCCTATGACTTACGGATATGTTACTATCAGACAGTATATTTCATCCCCAGGGAAAGAAGGATCATATGCCTTTAAAATTAAAGTGTGTTTTACGAATGAGGAAACACAAACTCACCTTAACTTAAACTTTTAGTTGTTTAACAAATATTCTTTCCTCTCTCAGGATCCTATTTTTTAGAGACAGGGCACCACTAGGAAAAGAGAAAGTGAACATGAAACATCAGCATTTTCTTGGAGAGCACATTCATTTACAAAACACGCCCCCTTCCATAAGCGTACACTCCCCTCCAGTCCACCATAAACAACCAGATGGGAGTAGGAAGGAGGCTGGAACAGCGTTGACCTTTCCCAGTGTGAGAAAGTCTGGGGTCACTGATGTCTAGCGTGGAATCTGTGGAATTGACAGCAGGCTTCTGGGGCCAGAGTTTTGGAAATGCTGTGGCTGTGAAACATAGCTGGCCCCTTGAAACTTTCAAAGGAGACCCTCCAAGGAGGAAACCCACTCCTAGGACGTCATTAGGTCTTCCCCAAATAGCCTGTTTGGGGTCGTATTCAGCTTCAGAAAATCTCATCTCGTGATCCAATCTATGTCTTCTTGATGGGGTCCTCCATTCTTCCATTCTAAAGCTAAGATTCTGGCTTCCCTTCTTTATCTGCCACAGACGCCAAGTGGCTGTGAGGGGAGAGGTACAAGGAATCGGCAGAGACAAGAGCCAAGAATTCCAGTGACAATCCACACAGCCACACAACTGTCGCTTATCCAAAAGTCACGCGTCATTTAAATAAGCACCGTCACCCAGTTAAATAATGACACACAAACGCACACTTCATGGAGACACGTCTACACACACACGAGTTTCTCAATAGGTACATAAATCTCTGCTGCTCACGCAGACACGAGCCTTACACCCGAGGACTGACACCTCTTGTCTGCGTTCGAAGCGTCCTCGCCTTGAGCGCCTGTCACCAGAGGGGGTTCCAGTCCGGCTACCGAAAGAGACTATGGAAGCGTGTGCCGTTTTTATTTTTGGATGGGATCTACTTTACACGTAGGGACTACAGCTCCTCCGCCACCGGAAGAGCACCCAAGACCCGAGGCTGAAGCGAGCCCGGTGGCTTCTGGGAAATGCAGTCCATCCGAAACGTTTCTAGCGCTGCGAGAGCTCAGCGCTCCGAATGCGCAGATGCCAGGACTGTGTCTGCGCGTGGTGGAGAGCGGCTAGACCTCGGAAGGAAGATGGTTGCTGGTGAGGCTAGCGTACGTGGAAATAGCGAGTGGAATCTGAGTCCAGTCTGCAGAAGGCGGGGTGGGATCCTGGGGACTTCAGAACCCCAACCTGCGGCAGGAGGAGACGGCGGGCTCTTGGGTACTGTGGTTTCTTGGGTATGAGCTCTGAGGATTGGGACTTAAGTCTTTTGACCCCCATCCTTACCCCCATTCCCGCTCAGGTAGCATCAGCATCCCGAGTAGCGCCAGAAGCACACCTGGCATTAAGTGTGCATTTGTTTTTAAAGAAAGAACCCCTGGGGTTGTGTGTGTGCGTTTTCATTCTCTGTGTTTTTGTGGGACCGCAGTGTGTGTCTGTAACCGTGTGTGGCGGCTTCCCTGGTGGCTCAGCAGTGAAGAATCCGCCAGTCAGTGCAGAAGATGGGGTTTCTATCCCAGGGTGGGAAAGATCCCCTGAAGAAGGAAATGGCAACCTGCTTCAGTTTTCTTGCCTGGGAGATCCCATGGACAGAGAAGCCTGGCAGGCTACAGTCGTTGAGGACACAAAGAGTCAGACACGACTTAGCGACTAAACAACCACCGTGTATGCGATTGTGTTTCTGTTTGGTTTGTTTATGGTTTGTTTCAGATTTTGAGATATTATAAAACTTGTTAAGCATACTTCCTTCCCACTCCTCCATCCCCACCCTGAAATTCCTCCTGCCCAGTATCTTGTATTTCTTTCCGTTAAAGGCTACGTCTGGCTGACTTTTGCCAGAGACATACACTAGCAGGGCCAACTCATCCATTAGACACAGTATGCAAAATGCCTAGAGCCCACAATACTCTTTGTCGTTGTTGTTTAGTCACTTTTTCCAACTCTTTGTGACACCATGAACTGCAGCACTTCAGGCTTCCCTGTCCTTCACTATCTCCCAGAGTTTGCTCAAATTCCTGTCCATTGAGTCCGTGATGCCATCCAACCATCTCATCCTCTGTCGCCCCTTCTCCTGCCCTCAATCTTACCCAACATCAGTGTCTTTTCCAGTGAGTTGGCTCTTCCCATCAAAATATTGGAACTTCAGCATCAATCTTTACAGTGAATATTCAGGGTTGATTTTAGGGTTCTACCAAAAAGTCTTTTAAAATCAGAAATAAAACATTAATTTTTGGTCAAAGGAAATGTTTAATTCAAAGAAACTCAACTTATTACTGTACCTAAAGAATCACAAAATACTGTTATTTTTATTTTTCTGTTTATTGATGAAAGGCCCCACAGAAGTTCTAATACAGCACCGCATCTTACCCAGATCAAATCAGATTTCAATCCAGCCTTATTCCTCTTCAGTTCTTCAGTGGGACTTGTGAAAACAGCACTGTATCTGCTGACCTTAGGTGAAACTGCAGTAAACTCTGACCTTCCCATTTGAGTTTTCCATGGCCCCAGGATGAAGTGGAACATTTCCTTCCCTAGATGTCTGGGCACCTTGAAAATGAAATTTGAACACATATTTTGGTCTCCTAATAAAACTTCTCTTCCCAGACTCTTTGTAAATAAGCAATAAAAAGTTTGAGTGCTTTTGTGACTGTGTGTGGAATTATATAATATAATGCACATTTTAAGGCATGTGAGATTATGGCTTTAGTTATGAGATTGTGTTTTTATCTGTGAGTATGACTTAAAATGTATGTGATGCCTTGAAAGACATGCTTTTATTATGTGGGCATTTTATGGATATTGTGAATGTGGATTACTTATAACAGGCTTATTAAGTGTGAACAGACTTATTAAGTGAGAAACTACATGAGATGGAAATGTGTGATTTTGATTATATGAATATAGAACCCTGTGATATTATGACTGTATATCTTGGTGAATGATGATAGGCTGCCTTACTCTTCTCAACAATGAACGAGAGGAATGTTGCTCCTTTATGGAACAATAACTTTAAGATTTGGGTTAAAGGATTTGCTATTTATTTGGCAAATAATTTGGATATTTTATGCTCTCTTACTTAGCTTTAAAAAGAAGAAATCCAACACATGCTATAATGTGGATGTATCTAGAGAACATTGTACTAAGTGAAAAAAGCCCATCAAAAAAAGATGAATACCAGAAAACTGCACACTGATATCTCTGAAAAACATAGATGTAAAAATTCTCAACAAAATATCAACAGATTTAACTCAACAGAGTATTAAAAGGATCATATAGTAGGACCAGGACTTCCCTGGTGGCTCAGTGGTAAAGAAATGACTGCCAATGCAGGAGACGTGTGTTTGATCCCTGGGTTGGGAAGATCCCTTGGAGAAAGAAATGGCAACCCACTCCAGTATTCTTGCCCAGGGAATCCCAGGGACGGAGGAGCCTGGCGGGCTACAAATTTGTGGGGTCACAAAAGAGTCAGACATGACTTAGCGACTAAACAACACTAGGACCGAGTGGGATTTATCCCTCCAATACAAGGATGAGTCAACATATGCAATATGTACCACATTACATCACTTTAACAGAATGAAAGATAAAAATCATAGGACCATCTCAGTAGATACAGAACAAGCATTTGACAGTACAACATCCTTTGATGATAAAAACTCTCAACAAATAGGTATAGATGGAACATAACTCAACATAATGGAAGCCATATACAGTGAACTCAGAGCTAATATCATACTGGTGAAAGGTTGAAAGCTTCTCCTTTACAAACAGGAACAAAACAAAGGTGTCCACTCTCACTGCTTCTATTCCACAGAGTACTGGAAGTCCTAGCTGAGCAATCAAAGTATAAAGAAATTAAAAGGCATCCAAGTTAGAGAGGAAGAAATAAAATTCCCTTTGCAGATGCAAACAAAAGAGATATGTAAATAAATATATATATTTTCTAAACACTATACATTAAAACTGTTAGAACTCATCAGCGCCTTCTGTCAAGTTAAATAATACAAAATTAATGTATAAAAACCAGTCGCTATTTTTATACAGTAACAATATATGTAAAATAATTCCATTCACAATATCACTAAAGACAATAAAAATACTTTGGAATAAATTTAAATATGGAGATGAAAGACCTGTATACCAAAAATGATAAGACTTTGATGGAAGAAATTGAAGACACAAATAAGCAGAAAAATATCCTGTGTAACTTGGATCAGAAGGATTAATATCATTAAAATGTCCCTACTACCCAAAAGCCATCTATAGATTCAGTGCAATTTCTATCAAAATTCCAATAGCATATTTCACAGAAAAAGAATTCTAAAATTTTGTATGGAGCCACAAAAACCTGTAATAGCCAAAGCAATCAGAAGAAAGAAGAACAAAGCCAGAGACATCCCACTTCCTAATTCCAAACTGTACTACAAAGATGGGTTCCCAGTAGCTCAGATGGTACCAGTAGCTCAGATGGTAAAGAATCTGCCTCCAGTGCAGGAGACCCAGTTCGATTCCTGGCTTGGGAAGATCCCCTGGAGAAGGGAATGACTACCCACTCCAGTATTCTTGCCTGAAAAATTCCACGGACAGAGGAGCCTGGCAGGCTGCAGTCCATGGGATCACAAAGAGTTGGACCTGACTGAGCAACCAACATAGCAATTCTACTTCTGCTTGTATATTCAAAGTAAATGAAAATAGTTATTTGAAGAGGTATGTGCACTCCCATGTTTCTTTCAGTATTATTCACAATATGGAAACAACCTAAGTGTTGAAGCTGTGGCATATATACAATGGAATTTATTCAGCCATAAGAAAGAAAAGAAACAGACCCATTTGCAACAACAAAGGTGGGTATTATGTTAAAGTGAGATTAAATCAGACAGAGAGATACTGTTTATTATCACTTATATGTGGAATCTTAAAAAAGGCAAATTCATAAATATAGAGTAGAATGATAGCTATTACAGGTTGGAGGGCTGGGTGGGAATGGGATACTGTTTTTTAAGGGTACAAATTTGGACTAGGAGATAAGTCCTGGAGAGCTAATGGACAGCACAGTGATATAATCAATAATCAATAATACTGTATTATAAATTTCAGAGTTTCTAAGGGACTAGACCCTAACTGTTCTGAAACCAAAAAAAGCCATGAAAACTAGTTGAGGGGATAGAAGTGTTAGCTGACACTAAGATGATAATCATATTGCAATACATTCATCATCAAATCAACATATGTTGTACCTTGAAATTACACGTCAATTAGCCGCTTGAAAAGGAGTACGAATTACATGGTGTGATTTCTTAATTGGAAAACGAATAACTTTTTCGAAATACAAGTAATATTTCAATTCCCTAACGATGTAAGAAATTCAAAGCAAAGAAAAGTGGAGCATTTTTCTGCTTCTGTTTAACGTCCCATTCAATGGTTGCATCTCATTTTCTTGGCCAAGGTTGAATACAGGGCCAGGTAGTAAAGAAGATGGCTCATTATAGCACAGCCCTTTTACGATCTCTATTTTTCCTTCACACATACCACGCCTTTACAATTATTTGCCATTTACTTTTCCATACATATTTCCAATTTCTGTCAGGAAACAACGAGGAAAAAAAAAAAGCCAAGTACTACAAGCGCCCCACAGCTTACGCATACTCCACTTGCTAATTCAAAAGTAAAATTGCAAACAGGTGGGAAGCTCAGCGGCAGAGAGCATTCTGGGACGTGTAGTTTCGGAGGCTTCCTGTGATTCGGAACTTCCGCTCCGGGAAAGCGCGGAGGGGTTATTCGCTCCGCTGGGGAAATAAAAAGACATAATCCAGCGCTGTGCGTCTCCGGTGGTATTTCGCCTACCGGAGCGCGAGAACACGAACCTCGCTGCTTTCGTGGATTCTGGGAAATTCGATTGAGGCCGGGGACGTTTCACTTCCTGTAAGGGGGCGGGGCAATGACTCCTACCCCTCTTGTGGGTCCTGGGAAATGTAGTCCAGGAGCTCCGAATAGTTGGAGGTATTTCCGCTTTAGGAGGTTGCGATTGCGGACTTCGATTCTCTCGGGTAGGTGAGTCATTTCCTGGGAGCCTGCTGTCTCCTTTAACTTTTCTGACCCGGTCCTGGGATCAGCTAGACTCGGTGTTCGGTCGCAGGGCAAAAAAGCCGCGACTTGCGACAGAGGGCGGGATGGAAGGGTGAGGGCGGCCGCTTGCCTTCCTCTTACTCGCTGGATTCTCTGTGTTTGGGGCGGTTCACAAGTCTTGGGGTTGTAGGCGGACTGAAATCGGCAGTTTGACTGTCTCCAGGCCTCTTTGCTGTCCATTCCGCCTCCTCCAGCACCTTCCACACCGTTAGTTACTTCCTAGTGTGAAGGAAAGTGAAGTCGCTCAGTTGTATCCAACTCTTTGCGACCCCATGGACTGTAGCCCTACCCGTCTCCTCCGTCCATGGGATTTTCCAGGCAAGAATACTGGAGTGGGTTGCCATTTCCTTCTCCAGATCTTCCCGACCCAGGGATTGAACCCAGGTCTCCTGCATTGTAGGCATACGCTTTACCATCTGAGCCACAGGGAAGTCACTTCCTAGTGTTAGGTAGTTAGAATAGGGAAAAGGAATCCAAAATGGCGGTGGCTAAAAGACAAGGAAGGGAAAAGCCCGCGAAAATAGAACAAAGAAAGGTCAAAGAAAGGTCCGAGGACCGGAGTGAGGACTTGAGGTAGAACAGCACTGAGCGCAATTTGTTTAGGGCAGGCCCAGGGGGCAGAAAACATATAAAAGGAGGAGCCAAGCGCGCGCTCTCCCGCGTGCGTAGGCGCTCTCCCCGCCCCGCGCCCGCCCCCGCCCCGCCCGGCGCGCTCGCGCGCTCCTCCACTCTTTTCATCTAAATAAAATAGAGCTGTAACACTGATTTGTCTAAGAGCTATGACACGGTTTATTCAAGACCTGAGAGCTGTGTCGCGCCGAGGGCTTTAATGTCCCTTGCTCCAAATCATTATGACAGACAAGAACCGAGAAGCATACACTTGTCTGACACTAGCAAGGTAACATTGGATGCGAATTTAATCTTTTTGTTCCTTGGATTCCTTTTCTATAGAAAGGGATTTTAAGAGTATAAGGCAGGTACTCACCTGCCTTTCGTAGATAGAAAAGCAGTCTATCGAAATAGTCAACCATTAGGAAACTGACTGCAGAGGAGACTTTTGGGATCAATTTGTGCAGGTAGGTTGAAATTTTATTGTAGAGGATTTGAAAGCAGGGTTAGTGAGTTTGGCCATCTTTGTAAAAATTTGAAAGCATTTTCATTTAATCTTATTTTAAATATTATTTAAAGCTTGTATACTGATTATAGAAGAAATGTGGATTCATTGTAGAGAATTCAGAAAATGTAGAGCTATGACATAGTCAAAACCGTTAAGAATTACCCATGTAGATACGTATGTTATAACTTATAGGATATGTATGACTTATATAGGACACAGACCTATAGGATATAGGTGATTATCAACATTTTTAAGTGCATTTCTGTTTTGCAGCTTTTCTATATGTATTTATCTATATTATATACAAGTGTTATCAGATTATTCATATCCTTAACTCTTAATTCTGAAAATTTCCAGACAACCTGCCAGGTTCCTCTGTCCCTGGAATTCTCCGGCGATAATACTGGAGTGGGTTCCTTTCCCTTCTTCAAGGGATCTTTCTGACTCAGGGATAGAACCCTGGTCTCCCTCATTGCTGGCAGATTCTTTACCATCTGAGCCACTGGGGAAGCCCCACAAAGTGTAATATAATGACTCCTGTGTAACAGTCATCCTGCTTCAGTTCTTGCTGATCTTGTTGCATCGCTGTCTCCCTGTACACAGGTTTTTCCCATTGAGTATTTTAAAGCAAACTCAGATGTTGAGTCAATAGAACTTAAACATTAATTATTATACCGAGACTGTGTTAGTTTGCTAAAACTTGTTGTTGTTGTTCCAACTTTCAGTTGGGTCTGACTCTTTGCAACCTCATGTACTGCAGCATGCCACATCACTGACACATCACTGAATGTCAGAGGCCCCTGAAATGACAGATCCATGTATTATTTGTAAAAGTGGAAAAAAAATTCAAGATGGAATATTCAGTTGCAGCAGTGGGCAATGTATGATTGAAAACAAGTAAGCTGAAGTTAAAGACCATGACATGGTTAGGTGAGAATAAATAAGCTAGTGTATCTGAAGTACAGTACCTCAGTTCAGTCGCTCAGTCGTGTCCGACTCTTTGCGACCCCATGGACTGCAGCATGCCAGGCTTGCCTGTCCATCACCAACTCCCAGAGCTTGTGCAAACTCATGTCCATCCAGTCAGTGATGCCATCAACCATCTTATTCTCTGTTGTCCCCTTCTCCTCCTGCCTTCAGTCTTTTCCAGCATCAGAGTCTTTTCCAGTGAGTCAGCTCTTCGCAGATGGCCAGAGTATTGGAGCTTCAGCTTCTGCTGGTACAAAATATCACAGCCCGACTGGCATAGACAACAGAAATAAATTTTCTCACAGTTCTGGAGCTAGGAGTCTGTCAGCAGATTTGGTTTCTTCTGAGGCCTCTCTCCTTGACTTGCAGATGGCTGCCTTCTTGTCATGTCCTCACAAGGTCTTTCCTTTGTGTGTGTGCATGCCCCTACTATCCCTGTTAATGTCCAATTTCTTCATAGAAGGACACCAGCCAGATTGATTTAAGGCCCACTCCAATGACCTCATTTTAACTTAATCACCCCTTTAAATGCCTTGTCTACCATTGCAGTCACATTCTGAGGTTCTGGTGATTAGGACTTCCATGTATGAGTTTATGGGTGGGACTCACAATTCAGTCCATAACAGGTATTAACAGCAACTCTAAGAGTTTTCACACTTGGCCACTAGCAGTATGTTTTTTATATAAGAAACTTAGAAAGAGTTGCAGTTATGAAAGGAAAATGATGAATTTCCTGTGCTTCTTTGGAGTTGCACTTTGCCATGGGCATGTAACTCTCAATTTTATCTTTCTCTCCTGTTAGGCTACAGGGACCTCTGATTCATGGACCTGGTCCTATTCTTTTTGGAGAGTCCAGCACAGGGTCAGCAGAGAGGAGTTATCTAGTGAGTAGGTGTGATGCAAACAGTCACCCAGAGAGGCTATAGCCTGGAATTAGAGAACAAAATAAAAAGGCAATCTATAGGCATATGCTTTGGTGCCTCAGTTTCCTTTGGTGAGCTGTAGAATTCACCAACTTTTCCCGAGTGTTCAAAGGTTGATGTATCATCAACTCTCTCGCCTTCTGGGATGGCCCACACTTTGTGAAGTATATTTTTCTCTAAATCACTTTTTACCTTAAAAAAAAGAAGTTAATGTATCATCGTGCCTAATATTGTCATGGTCTCAAACAGATTTCCTTGTTAGCAGACCAATTTAAAAAAAAAAATGGAAGTATAGTTAATTTACAGTGTTGTGTTAGTTTTGAGCTTCTCGGATAACTCAGTTGGTAAAGAATCCGCCTGCAACGCAGGAGACCCTGGTTCGATTCCTGGGTCAGGAAGATCTGCTGGAGAAAGGATAGGCTACCCACTCTAGTATTCTTGGACTTCTCTTGTGGCCCAGCTGGTAAAGAATCCGCTTGCAATGTGGGAGACCTGGTGTTCGATCCCTGGGTTGGGAAGATCCCCTGGAGAAGGGAAAGGCTACCCACTCCAGTAGAGTCGGACACAACTGGGTGACTTTTACTTTCATGTTAGTTTCAGGTATGCAGCACAGTGATTCAGTTATTTATATATATGTGCATATATATATATATATTTAGTACATATGTATATATACTCTTTGCAGGTTCTTTTCCCTAACAGGTATTGTAAAATACTGAGTCTAGTTCTCTGTGCTATACAGTGAGTCCTTGTTGGTTCTCTGTTTTGTGTATCAGTTCAGTTCAGTCGCTCAGTTGTGTCCGACTCTGCGACCCCATGAATCGCAGCACGCCAGACTCCCGGAGTTTACTCAAACTCATGCCCATCGAGTCAGTGATGCCATCCAGCCATCTCATCCTTTGTTGTCCCCTTCTCCTCCTGCCCCCAACCCCTCCCAGCATCAGGGTCTTTTCCAATGAGTCAACTCTTCNGGAACCAGTCTGTTGTTCCATGTCTAGTTCTAACTGTTGCTTCCTGACCTGCATACAGGTTTCTCAAGAGGCAGATCAGGTGGTCTGGTATTCCCTCCCATCTCCTTCAAAATTTTCCACAGTTTATTGTGATCCACACAGTCAAGTGTATAGTACTGTATATATTTTAATCCTAAACTCCTAATTTGTCTCTCTGCCTTCCCCTGGTATCCATAAGTTTGCTGTCAAATCTATGTTAGTGTTCAGTTTTTTGTTTGTGATGTCAGGATCATGGTGGGGATGCTGAGAGAAGCTAACATTTGTTGGGCACCTCTTCTGTTTCTGTGAATTTACAGTGCTTTGTGTGCAATAATTATTATTGTCATTTTTAAAATGAAGAAACAGTGGAAGACAGTTGAATAAATGACCTGGTGACCCAGCAAGGGGCAGAGCCAGAGTCAAACCTCAGCAGCTGGCTTTAAAACCTCCTTGTTCCAGCACTCTGTGACCAGGACAGCTTACTTAACTTCTCTGTCCCTCACTTTTCTCACATCAGGTAAGATGTGGTTAGATGGTAAAGAATCTGCCTTCAATGTAGGAGATCTGGGTTCGATCCTGGGTCAGGAAGATCCTCTGGAGAGGAAATGGTACCCCACTCCAGTATTCTTGCCTGGAGAATTCCATGGACAGAGGAGCCTGGCGGTCTACAGCCGAGGGGGGCTCAAAGAGTTGGACACGTGATGATTAAAAGAAATATGATGTGGGAAGTGCTTGAAATGGGGCCTGGCACATAGTACATCCTATATGTATTACAGACTACAGTTGTACTCTTTTTTCTATTATAGAAGAGTATGCAATATGAAAAATGCAGTGAGTTATTAAAAGTGCAAAAAAATATTTTATTTCTTTTCTTTTCTCCCCCATTTTATTCTTTTAATACTTCAATTTGAACATACAGTTGAGCAAAAATGAATTGTTTCCTTAATAACCTTTGTTGAAACTGATAACTAACAGAGTTGGTTGTCTTTTGAACCTAGTCAGTTCCTGGGGGTGGAGAAGGCAATGGCACCCCACTCCAGTACTCTTGCCTGGAAAATCTTGTGGACGGAGGAGCCTGGTAGGCTGCAGTCCATGGGGTCGCTAAGGATCAGACACAACTGAGTGACTTCACTTTCACTTTTCACTTTCATGCATTGGAGAAGGAAATGGCAACCCACTCCAGTGTTCTTGCCTGGAGAATCCCAGGGCGGGGGAGCCTGGTGGGCTGCCGTCTGTGGGGTCGCAGAGTTGAACATGACTGAGGCGACTTAGCAGCAGCAGCAGCAGTTCCTGGGGGATAATCACATGGTCTCTATTGCTTTAAAAAGGCCTGAGTCTGCACCATTCACTGTGGTAGCCATTGGCCACGTGAGACTGTTGTTCTTCAGATGTGGCTGGTGCCAACTGAGATGTGTTGTTAAGTGTAGGACACACAAGAGATTTCAAACACTGAAAAAGAATGTAAAATGTCTCAGTTGCAGGTTGAAGATAATTTGGATATGTTGCATTAAATAAAATATATTGTTAAAATGAAGGCCACTTCTTTTTACATTTTTCAATGTGTCTGCTAGAAACATTTAAATTACCCATGTATCTTACATTATGTTTCATGTGGGCAACACTGGTGTAAATGGAAGCCTCCATTTTTCCTCTGAGGATTTGCCTTCCAGGGCATTTACAACTTACTCTTAACCTCTTTAGACCTTCGAGGGCATCTTACAACAGAGAGAAGCAGGAAGCTAGTCATCAGGAGGCCTGAGTGCCAGTTCTAGCCCTGCCCTGGGCTTCCTGGCTATTCTTAGGCATTTCAGATAACACCTTGAGGGGCAGAATGGAAGACTGCACTGGTTCCCAAACTTGGGTCATATTAGAATCACCTAAGGAAGTTGGTACAAAGGGTAAAGACCCAGTCCTTTTACTATTTCAATGAGTCTGGGCTTCTGTGGGTTTTTTTGTTTGTTTATTGAATTTTTTTTAACAGTATTGTTTCTGTTTTATGTTTTGGCCTAAGAGGCATGTGGAATCTCCCTGACCAGGGATTGAGCCCACACCCCCTGCACTGGAAGGCAAAATCTTAACCATTGGACCACCAGGGAAGTCCCTGGACTAATGTGTTCTTTTTTAGCTTTCTGGATGATTGTGATGGTGTTCCAATTCACCTGATTTAGGAAGGCGGAATCCCTGTCCTAAACAGTATGAGATATCTGCACCGGGCAGATGAGGTTGGCAGCAGTTTGTTATCTGTTTATCACATACAGCCATGCAAGGCCACACGTGGTTGCACTTGGGACTAGAATGAAGCAACAGTGGCTCTGGGAGGCAGGCTCTGTAGTAAACAGGGTAGGGTAACCCTTGGTTCTGGCAGGAGGATGTGGTTGGCTTGCTTGAACAGTGTTGAAGCTGGCACAGAGGCGAAACCTGTTAGGTTGAGGACTAGGTGGGCTACATCTGATCATTTGATGGGGTGAATTGTGTCAGGTCTTCATTTATAAAGGTGATCGAATGACAGCATTGAGAGGTTACCAAGAAAGAACGTTTTCTATACTTACAGTTTCCCCAAAAAAGAGACACAGCATGCCACCCAGGGCTATACAAGGCCTGTCACACACAGGAGTCATGGAGCAGAACAAGAGAACTGTGTCTTTATGACTATAGTGGTGGGAAGTAAAGAGGTGGTGACATCCCCCTTTGGGGCACTAAGAACAGGAGAGCAGGGGGCAGTGGTTGGGCGGGTTATATTACATTGACTAAAAAGTTTGTTTGAATTTTTTCCATAACATGTTATAGACCCTTGTGACCCTTACATGCCTTGGAAAGCTGGCTTGCGGGGAATGTGTTACTAACTGTGGTTGACAGTCTGGCCCTGTGATTCAACAGACTGAGGAAGAAGTTAGGAATCACAGACGTCAAATAGCTAGAATCTAAAAACATGGTTAAGGGATGGGACTTCTTGGTGGTCCAGTGGTTAGGACTCCGCACTTCCACTGCAGGGGACACGGGTTTGATCACTGGTCAGGGAACTAAGATCCCACATGCCATGTGGTGCTGGCAAATAAATAAATAAATAACTTAATCAATGAATTAAAATAAAACATGGTTAAGGGAATTCACTGGCAGTCCAGTTTTTAGGCCCAGCACTTTCATTTCAGGGGCCCAGATTCGATCCCTAGTTGGGGAACTAAGGTCCCACAAGCCACGAGGCACAACAAATAAATGAATAAATAAAAATAAAAACATGGTTAACCCATAGGCGAACTAGCCAAATGGGGAGTCTTCCCCAGGGAAGGGGTCATGTCTGGAGACAGCAGAGGGAGCTAAGAGCTAGGCCTTCTGGGCTCTGTGAGGCTCAGAGGTGTCAGGGTAGAACTGGGAATTTTAGGCCTTACAATAGAGCTGGCTGGAGCTTGGAAACTACTGGACATTGGTCATGGTTATCATCCCGTGTCATATTACCTGGGGTTCATTTCCTGGTGCAGTGTCCTGACTGGACAATGAAATCACAGGCTGGGGTGCTAGGAGAGGGGTAAGAATGCAGATGTTAGCAACCCTCCTCCACAGTTTCTGGTTTAATTAGTTGTGAATAAGTTCTGAGCATTTCTTTGTCTTTGTTTTGTTTTAAAAAAAACAATTTTTTTAAATACAGCTTTTAAAAGTTGCTTTCCATTTAAGATTTGACCGTTTTTTAAAAACTCCCATGTGAGTCTGATGTGCTATTAGGTTAGACTCTGGGTGAAAATCTTGACTCTTCTGTTGGTCACTGGTTGATTATAACCAAGTTAATTCCTAATTTACAGATCAGACCTTGGGACTAAGAGTAGGAAGTTGGAGATGCCAGTATTTAAATACCAGTGGTCTGATTCCAAAGCCTCCACCCTTCCTGACTGTTCTCATCTCCTTCAAGCAGGTCCTCTGACTTCAGAGTCCTTTTCCAGTTGCCATGTCTCATGTCTGTCTTCTGTCCCCAGCTCTCAAGCTCTCATTTCTCTTTCCATGAGACCTCAGACTCCCATCTGTGTCTTTTTTTTTTCCTAGAAGCAGCAGAGATACAAGATCTAGAAGACTAGCTCCTTTGTGAGAGTGGATTCAGGTTCCTCCTGCCTCTGGACCTCACCGAGCCTCGGCTTTCTCGTCTGTTATGTGGGAACAACAGTCGTGATCATCATCATTTATTGAGAACTTTCTAAAATGCCAGGTACAGTGCTAAGGTCATTTAGCTCATTCATCTCTCACAATAACCATAGGACTGACAATTCTCTTTTCTTCTCTCCCTGTTATAGCTGAGGAGAGGCACAGAGGTGGAGGTGATCAGACCAGCGTCACACCACTTGTACGACACTAGATTCTTCACAGGTGTGTGGGAGGTACCTAATGAAGCAATATGTGCCAAGTGCTTCTCAAGGTCCCTAGCACATAGTTAATGCTTTTGCAGTGTTAAACGTTGCCATTTGTATTGTTTTTGTCATTACTGTGATTAGCTTGTTAATTTAAATGGCATACTGATTAACTTACTGTTAAATAACAGGATTCTGTTAATTTTTCTTCAGCTCAATGATATGAGTTTTTTTAAGGCCCTACTGTTAAGCAAAGTCAAATTAGCAAGGTCTTATATCTTTGAAAAAGTGATCATTCGTAGTGTCATGAAAAATTTGACACTACGACTATAAAAGTAGAATAGTGGTTACCAGGGGCCAAGGGGATAGGCAGTGGAGAGTTAAGTGTTTGATGAGTACAGAGTTTCAGTTCCTGGTGGTGGAAAAGTTCTAGAGACAGATAGTGGTGGTGATTCACAATATGAATGCACCTAATGAACTTGACACCCTAAAAAAATGGTTCAAATATAAAATTTTATGTGATATATATTTTACACAGGGAAAAAAATCATCAATGTAATCTTAAATATTACTGCAAAGGCATCAAGTTAAGTATGACAAACCAAGTAAAAATAACACGTCAGAGGCTAAAGGTGATTTTCATATGAGAAAGCAACAACCTCTGAAGGATCCAGTGATAGAAACTATTTATGAGGACAGGTTTTTTGTTACTGAACATGACCCGCTTTCTGCTGCTACTGAGAAATGAGGTGCCTTGGAAGTGTTCTTTGAGCTTTCCGCCTACTGATTTAATTCTGACAGCAATCCTAAGCATTGTTTTGTTTTTATACTCCAGGTTTAATTAAAATTAAAAGTTGTATTCGAATGGTGAAAAGTTACATTAGCCTGTGCATTTTGCCACATAAGTTGTACTGAAATTGTGAATACAATTTAATTATTTTAGCAAAGACAGTAGCTGTACGAGATAGACATTGTTAATCCCTCCATTTTCTGCTGTGCCGTGGGTTCAGTCCCTGGGTAGGAAGTATCCCCTGGAGAAGGAAATGGCAACCCACTCCAGTGTTCTTGCCTGGGAAATCCCATAGACAGGAATGTGGTGGGCTGCAGTCCACGGGTTCTCAAGAGAGTCAGACACAACTTGGCAACTGAACAATAACAACATGATTCAGTGACATCCTTGACCAGACTTTGACAGTTTTTTTTCTTCTTCTCCTATCAGGCCTTCCTAAGACTCAGCAATTCCCAAGGAGGAGGACAAAATGTCCAAGTTCAAGGTGAGTTGGGCTTGCCTTTCTAGGCATTCAGTTGTCACCTCATTTCTCGGCGATTAAACACATCCTGTTTGTCTTTCTTGGGAAACCCTGAAGTGAATAGTAGACATCTGAGAGCCTCTTCCAAGAAGAGTGCCAGATGATCACTGCTTTTTAATTTTAATATAGTTTCACTTTTGTTGTTTTATCACTTTTTTGTAATTTCACATATCAGAGTAGACTAGAAGATGTTAAAATATTGCTCTATACAGGTGATTCTTCAGTTCAGTTCAGTTCAGTCGCTCAGTCGTGTCCAACTTTTTGTGACCCCATGGATCGCAGCATGCCAGGCCTCCCTGTCCATCACCAACTCCCGGAGTTTACTCAAACTCATGTCCATCGAGTCGGTGATGCCATCCAGCCATCTCATCCTCTGTCGTCCCCTTCTCCTCCTGCCCCCAATCCCTCCCAGCATCAGGGTCTTTTCCAATGAGTCAACTCTTCGCATGAGGTGGCCAAAGTATTGGAGTTTCAGCTTCAGCATCAGTCCTTCCAATGAACACCCAGGACTGATCTCCTTTAGGATGGACTGGTTGGATCTCCTTGCAGTCCAAGGGACTCTCAAGAGTCTTCTCCAACACCACGGTTCAAAAGCATCAATTTTTCAGCGCTCAGCTTTCTTCACAGTCCAACTCTCACATCCATACATGACCACTGTCATAAGCAAATAATTGTGCCCTCAGGCCATGTCTGGAAACAATTTTGCTGTCATGACTTGGGGGATGTTACTGATACAGTACATCAGAGCCAGGGACGCTGCTAAACACCCTGCAGTGCACACAGCAGCCCCCTTCAACAAAGAATCATCTGGCCTCTGATGTCAGAACTGCCAAGGATGTGAAACCATACTGTCCCCAGTGCTATACATGAACAGTAGCCAAATGTGGGTGAAAATATGTGTAATCAGTTCAGTCGCTCAGTCGTGTCTGACTCTTTGTAGCCCCATGAACCACAGCATGCCAGGCCTCCCTGTCCATCACCATGCTCAAAAAACCAAAGCTTGAAATCTGTAATAGGAATTTTACAGAATCCTAATATAAAACCCCAATTGGAGTATGTGCAAAGAATATTAACAGGTGGGACTTCCCTGGAGGTCCAGTGTTAAATATTCTGTATTTCACTACAGAGGGGTGTGGCTTCAGTCCCTGGTTGGGGAACTAGGATCCCACGTGCCTTGTGGTACAGCCAACGTAATTAAAAAACATATATGTATTGGCCATGTCCTGCCTGCCATGGGACACACACAGTAGGATTTGCTCCAGGACCTTGCTTCAGACAAGGAAGCTACTCCTCTATGAAACCACTGATACCTCTGTTGCTGAAAAAAAAAAAAATTAAAAAAAAAAAGAATATCAACAGGCCAAGTTCTGAAGAAAAAAAATAAAAACGCCTAGTAAATATGTGAAAATATGATAAGCTTATTAATGATCAAATAAGTACAAATAATCAAATTAGTTGTTCTTTTACTGATAAGTTTGCCTAGGATTTAAAAATATGGTTATATCCAAAGTGTGGGATATGGAGAATTGGGGTTACTTATATACTCTTGGAGGAGGATAAAATAAGAGAAAAGTTGAGAAGAAAATCTGCTGTTGTACATAATAATTTTGAAGCTGCCTTTTCTCTGACATGGCAATTTTTCACTGTTTGGAACTTATCCTAAAGAAATAATCGGAAGGGAAGCAAAAAATTCTATATAAAAAATTTTCCTTTTCAGCATTTATTATGAAAAGAGAAATATATACAACATAAATGCATTATTGGGGATGTTTGATTATGTTACAGTAAAATTGACTCTGGTCTCTCAGCACCTGGAACCACTTTGTACACATCCTGCCCACTTTTCTCAGTTGTTACCCTTCATCCAGGAACATTTGTTGCAAGAATCAGGAGTGTGATTGATGTTGTAGGAGGCAGTGACCTTCAATGATGTGGCCGTGGTCTTCACAGAGGAGGAGATGGGGCTGCTGGACTTGGCCCAGAGGAAGCTGTACCAGGAAGTGATGCTGGAGAACTTCCGGAACCTGCTCTCAGTGGGTGAGGACGGGTGCCCTCTGTGACTGAACAGAGACCCCCTGCAATATTCCTGTGCCCTTGAACAGGCAGAGCTTCGGAGCTCTTAAACTGAATTTTGGTTTTCTAATCAGCATGAGATGCAGAGATCACAGGGCTTTTTGTTTGTTAGTTTGTTTTAATAATTATTTATTTGGCTGCATCAGGTCTTAATTGAGGCACACGGGATCTTGTTGCTTCATGCAGGATCTTTCATTGAAGTGTACCTTCTCTAGTTGCAATGCGTTGGCTTAGTTGCCCCATGGCCTGTGGGAACTTAGTTCCCCGACCAGGAACTGAACCTGCGTCCCCTGCATTAGAAGGCACATTCTTAACCACTAGACCACCAGGGAAGTCCCACAGAAATAGTTTTTCTTTCTCTGCTGACCAAAGTGTGTTTGTAAACATACTATAAATTGTCCGCATGATTGCTCTACCTTTTTGGGTTTTCAAATTGTAATCATCTCCAATTAGCAGGTCATGACATTCTTTAAGGAACTGAAACAAAATAGGGTAGAAAATATCACATCTCTTGGCAGTAACTGCACGATGTGATAAAAACTATGGCCTGTTGCCAAGAATAGTGTGAGAACTGGTGAAAAGGGTGCAATGAAAATAATGTCTTCCAGTAATTTATACTTAGTCTACATATCCTGGGGGCTTTCCAAGTGGCTCAGTGGTAAAGAATCCACCTGCAACACAGGAGATATGGGTTCGATCCTTGGTCGGGAAGATCTCCTGGAGAAGGAAATGGCAACCTACTGCAGTATTCTTGCCTGGAAAGTCCCATGGACAGAGGAACCTGGAGGGCTACAGTCTATGTGGTCTCAAAGTTGGACATGACTTAGCACCTAAACAACAGCAATGACTGCACATCCTTGGTTTTGCATAAAGTATATTTCTGCCAATGGGTCATAATTGAAGGCTTGGAAAACACTGATTTTTATGTCAGTGTTGATATAGTGTAAACCACAATTTTTCATAATTTGAGCTTCTAATGCATTCATTTTAAATGTTGGTCCTTGCCTTTTGACAGGACATCAATCCTTCACACCAGATGTACCATCCCAGTTAGAAAGAGAAGAAAAGCTGCAAATGATAAAGACAGCAGCCCAGAGCTGTTGTTCCTCAGGTGAGAGTCCTATGACTGAGTCTGTCTTGCTTCTTGTCGCCTCTCCAGCTGTCCAGGTCAGAGTGTAGTCTGTGGATTACTGCCACAGTCTTTGTAATACTCTCTCTTCTGCTTTGCTTTTTCACAATCAATTCTCCACTCTGAGTGATTCTTTTAAATTCAAACATTGTCATTTCTCAGCTCAGATCTCTCATTCAAAATAAAATTCCAGTATAGAAAGTGGCTTCTGATGTCCCCTATGCCCATCAGTTTTATAGTCTGCTTTTAGAAACAACTTTTTCACAGGTCAAGGGTAACATAGGGGTCTAAATATTGACTCCTGAATGAAAAATGAAAATCTTTATCGGTACAGGGAAAGGGTATAAGAATTTCAGAAACAGTCCATCTATATGCCCCATGGCCATCTTTATGCCCTATGCTTTTTTATTTTTTTGCCTTTCGAGTGATTCTTGCCAAGATTTATGTTTCTTTTTTACACTGTGTCTTGTGGGATCTTAGTTCCCCAAGCAAGGATCCGACCTGGACATTGGCAATGAGAGCGCAGTGTCCTAACAATTAGACCACCAGGAAATTCCCTGATGTTGTGATCATCGTGATTTTCTCTCAGCAACATTCATTTAGGTTAGCCCTACATCTAGTGAGGACTTTCAGTTTCCCAACAAATTGGCTGTTTCCTCTTCCTTTCCTATGATGAGTAAATTACTTGCAAAAGCTCTTTTACTTTTGTAACATGGCTCAAGCTGTCACGGAGACATCAAACTAGGATTTATTTATCCATCCAGCATGTATTTCTGGAACACTGACCATATCAGACAGAGTTCTGTGAGTGGTGATAAACCTGCAAACAGTACAAAATGCTTATCCCTGTGGGTATTACATTCAAGCAGGAGAAGACATAAAATGGAAAAGATCAAGACTTTTTATGCCCTATACTATGTATATAGTATGTCAGATGGGAATATGGGCTATGTAAAAACAAAACAGTGTATGGTTAATGGAGATTTCCAAGAATGTAGAATAGATAGGAGAATTTAGTATATGATATTGTATGGTAATAAAAGAGGCACCACCGATAAGGCATTATTTGAAAAGACACCTCTAAAGAAGTTAGTAGCAAGCTATATGACTAATTGGTGGAACAGAGTTCCAAGGAGAATGTAATTCTTCCTGTCCAATACCGACTTAAAATCTGTATTCCACCCTATTTATTTCCTCCTTGCAAGGTCTTACTCTGTTGTAAAAATTAGGTTATCTTCTAATTTTTCAGTCTTTTTTTCCCCATGGAAGTTGTAGGAACTATATTGATGTGAAATTTTAGAATAGTGTATGTTATTATAGTAAACTTCCCTGTGTATTGTCTTCCTGAAGGATATTTCCCAGCAGGAGACAAAAGACCACTCTCTCTGCTTATACTCTGAACTTTAGGCTCTTAGGTGATAAATTATTTTCTTCCCAACATGTATCTTTCCAACCTACCAGGACCTCCAAAGCTCTCCTTCCAGTGGAGAAAACTTCTAATAAAGCAAAAGTTTTCAACACTGCCTGGGGATGTCTTCTGACAATCTGTCAGTAAGGGTCTTACTTGAGCTTTTGAGCACTTGGATCAGATGTGCAATTATGTGAAAGCTGTTTATTAAACACTTGTTGCAGCAGAGAAAGTAAGGCTTAAGTAACATGCAGCCTCGTCTTGGTAAACATTCCCTAGGAGGTATTTTTTTTTTGCTCTGTAGCTATTAGATCTCTAATTTATATTTCACTTATGAAACTTATTATGATTCTGAATGGATCCCACTAATGAGTAGTGAAAGGGAGCCTGGTGGAACAGCTCTCAGTGTCTGGAGGTATGCAAATGATACATGATGCTGAAGAAAAATAGAAGTTTTTCATGTCCCCATAAGGCCTTAGGGTGTGGGCGAAACTTTATAACCTTGGCATCTCTGAACAAAGCACTCATATGCCCCATCTCTTAATTTTCTTTATCCTCTTAGGAAATCAGAATCTAAATGCCATAGAGACTCTTGGAGAAGTTGGATTAAGGTATCTGCCCCACGAAGAGTTTTTCTGCTCAAAAATCTGGCTACAAGTTACAGAGGAATTAACCAGGTGTCGAGATTCCATGGAAATTATTCAAGGAATTGGTTCTCAATTGGAAAAACAAAATGACACACTCTATAAAGATGAGTTCAGTAAAGACTTCACTCAGAGTTCACATCTTCAAGTTCAGTGCAGAGACTACACTGGAGGAAAACCCTATGAAGGGGTGGAGTGTGGGAAGGATTTCATATGGGGCTCTCACCTTCAAATGAACCAGACAGCCTCCACAGGAGAGAAGCCCTATAAATGTGAAAAATGTGAAAACACCTTCCGTCGGTTTTCAAGTCTTCAAGCCCATCAGAGAGTCCACAGTAGAGCAAAACTGAATAATCATGAGACGTCACATACAGGTTTTAGTCAGAGGTCATATCTTCATCAACATCAAAGAGTCCCCACTGGAAAGAATCCACACAGATTAGAGGAGTGTGGGAGGAACATCAGAAAAAGCTCACATTTTCAGGCTCCTCTGATAGCCCACCCATTGGAGAAACCCTATAAATGTGAGGAATGTGGGCTGGGCTTCAGTAAGCGCTCCTATCTCCATGTCCATCAGAGAGTTCACACGGAAAAGAAACCTTATCAATGTGAAGATCTTAATGTTCATTGTGGAATCCACACAGGAGAGAAGCCCTATAAATGTGAGAAGTGTGGGAAAGGCTTCGGCTGGGCCTCAAGTCTTCTGGACCATCAGAGAGGCCATAGTGGTGAGAAACCCTATCAATGCGATGCATGCGGAAAGGGCTT